CTGCCCGCCTCGCGCCCGCCGGCGCCGCGGAGCGCTTCAGCAGCCCGTCGGTTTGAGCCATTCAGGAGTTTCAAGGCGCTCCGGCGGCACTTCCCTCCTCACGCCGTCACGGGCAGTAGCGAACTGCTGCCAGAACGCAGGAAGCCGCGCGCGTACCGGGTCCCGAGCCACGGAACGCAGCGCTATTTGCAAACGACGGCTAACAAATCGCTTTTTTTTTTTTGCTCATAATCAATGCTTTAATAAATTTGATCCAAGGTTTTAGAAAAATACATATCAAAATATAACATTTTTATTCAAAAATTGGCTGTAGAAATTCAGTAGAATGAAGGCAGGTAAGAGGCAATGAGCTGAGCTCTTTCTGAGAAAATGCTTTTTCCTTGAAAATGTTGAACTGTCAAAAAAATTTATTTTTTTTTTTCCAGGGGAAGAGAGGGAAGAATAAACGAACAAATCTCCTGTTCTGAAAAGTTTCTGAAGCTTAAGTTTAGATTGGAAACTGGACAATGGCCAAAGTAAATACTTTTTGAAGTTTCGAGTTAAGTTCAAAGAAATTCTGAACTGAAACAGAACATCTTCATGTTCTTCAGCTTTTGTTTGTGAAAAACTTTGACGTGGCTTTTAGTTTCTTTTGAAGTAGATTCTCATTTCAAAATGTTCGAGGACTGGGTATCATCAATAACTGAAAACTAGTATGAATGAGAAGGGAAGCACTGGGAACAGTTATAAAAAGAGGACTATGGAGACAGACTAGTTATTCAAATTAGGGAAAGTTGATCTCAGTAGTAACACCAGTGTAAACATAATTTGAAGTTTTTGAAATCAAAAGGTCACATTATTGAAGCCACAATCACAGAAAAGTGCTCTTGAAAATGAGCCCTGAATCGTATCTGGAATGCTGCAGAACAAGGCACACTATAGCTATTGCCTCGGAACGTCTATTTAATTTAAAGAACTCACATGGTGCCAGCCTTAGGCCATCACCACATCATCTCTGGAGGTTTTGGGTCTTTCCTTGTTATATAGACAATTTACATTTGAAAAGAGGGTAGAGTGAAGTCCTCTTTACACTGCTTTATTCGATTATGTATTTATAATTTTATATATACGAAATATCATTCCTTTTTCTTTCATGCCCTGTATAGTTCATGAAATTAAACTCAAATCATCACAGGTATGATGTAGGAAATGCATACACTATGGCTGTTCAGCTGCTTCTCTTTCTTCTTGGAACGGACAACAACTCATTAGAAGAATTAAAAGAACAGACCATGTTAGTTGAATCCTTTACATCAGACTATGGAATGAAATTGCATTAATTTGAAGGACCTGTTGTTAAGTTTAAACTCCCAATGAAACTGTGGTGGTGGCAGCAGTGCAAGCACTCTGGTGTTAAGTTGAATAACATTAAATGAACAATCATAACAGCCAAAACATTTTCAGATTCCCGCCTGCTGGACTTGTTTAACATTCATGCCGTCAAGCTACTGCATATGCCGGCCTGACTGCACAATGTCACAAATGACAGAGGCCCTGATTTGCAGCAATGAAGTACAGGAGCTGTTTTCAAGTGTCAGCCTTGAATAATTAGTGTCAATATAGAATCTGCAAGCACAATTCTTCAGTGGAAAATACGAGTTTTAAGTATTTTAAAAACAGGAGACACTGTTTAGAGATTGACCATCTCTTTTCCTGATGATTTAAAAAGCAACATGCACAGCAGCACGTTTTCTTTTTCGTCTGCTGTGATTCTGAAGTGAATTCAGTTTCTTGAAATCCCATCCTTCGCTGGAAAGAACAGCAACAAGAAAAACCATTACTAATCAAGCTCATACCACAATTCCCAACCCCATAAGAACATTTTCATTGGAACCAGACTGCTGCTCTTGACGATTTCGTCTGAAAGAGAGCAGGGCATTTTCCTTCAGAAAAAGATGCCCACCTTTATCATTGCTTCTTCTGTTGAAAACCAAAAGTTACTCAGTAGAGGAGTGTTTCTAGCCAAGTATGCTTGAAAACATACACACCTGCCTAATCTGGTTCCTATACAAATGCAGCTATTCATGAATGCACCTTAAGCACAACTAATCACTACTGAGTTAAGTGAATTTATTTGTGGACAAGTTAAATGTAAATAAAAATGTAACGTGACACGTTAGCAATCAGTGCCAGTGCGCATCTTATTAACCATTCTTTAAGCGTGTCATATTTTGGTAGTTTCCTTTCGAAATTTGGAACAACAGTACTCAAAGTTCCCAAGGGTACAGTTATGCTACGAAATTCAGTGCTTTCTGGCTCAAGTGGCAGAATTAAAAGCATTCAGAGTTTCATCCTTTTCACATTAGATCAGCGTGCTCCCACTGACTTTAATATCCCATTGACTTACAGGATCCAGCTGTATTTTATAATTTTTTCAGAAACTTGCATATATTCATAAGAATTAAAGATAGACAAC